CCTGGCTTAAGCCCATTGCATTGGTGACCTCATTTCACATTGCAAGCGGGCTAGAGATCTAACCCCCTAAATGCAAGCAAATTCGTGGGGAGGGAGTCTAGGATGTCCTCAGCTTGTCCTAGGTTCGGTCCAGGTGCTAACAAAACAAAAATAATCACTCTATAAGAATTATGTACCCCTGGTCCGTCTTGGACAATCATCAGGGATTCCTTATAATACTTAAGGAGTCAAGCTTAGGGTTTCTTTTTCTACTTGGATCTCTCAGCGCTACAGTCTCTTTTGTAGTCAAAAGGGAGGTCACTTTTCCATTCCTACATGTACAGGGCTTTTAAACACATGGAATGGCAATAATGTGGAAAAACAAATGAAAAGAAAATATAAAATGAAAGATTGTTGTTATGGGCACCATGTGGACCATTAAGTATGGCCGATAAGTCCAACGGCCAACGTGGAAGTTCAATAAAAGAAAAACAGGAGTGATAAGCAGTGTCATATCCATCCATGGCCATTGTCTTCCACTACCTCCGATCCTTCCGGACTACCTCTGCTCCTTCACTAACCTTGGAGCTCCCGTATTCCGCAATCACCTCCGACTCCCTCGATGGTCACCACCCCCTCTTTTCAATATACTACCTACGCCTCCCTAAGTACAGAGCCCTGAAGGCTTCTGGACAGCTCCGACGTCTGCTAGCGCACTCCTGCCCCCACTGGGCAATTCACTTGCTTGCCCTGCAAGTCTACCTTTGGGCCTATCCCTCCTTTCCATTTCTGGGTTATCGCCTGCCACTCCGCTAACTCTGTAACCCGACTCGTTGGTAATATTCAATTGGCTAATGTTTAACTCTGTTAGCTCCGCTCCACTCAGCCCTGCCATTCACAGGCCTGCCCTTACTGTAACTATATATACTTAACTTGTACATAGGTTACACCCCAGTGATAAAATCGACTAGAGTTGATCCCCCTTTAGTTCTTGTTGCCAGTAAGTAAATTAGGGCATGGACATGTAACTTGGCACAGCGCTCCTGGTCTGAGTGCTGAGGCTGAAGCCCTGGAGACAACTCCTTTGTCTCGCTCCGGTCTCTAACAAGCAGGCCATATCCACTAATAATTGGTGTCCTCCACCAATTTCCACCATCACACCACACTCATCCATCTCTTCCTACCGGTAGCATCCCTTCCCAACCTCTCCATTTGATTCCCCAGGTTCTGTCATATCCGTGCATACCTGATCCTGACCCGACTCCCGGACCTCCTCCTTCACCACCTCTGGAGTCCTACCCTACCACTGTCTGTTCTGATATTCACCTTCAGTCCTGACACCACACCTCCTCTCACCTCCCATGCCACCTCCACTCCTCCATCCCTCTCCTGTCCTATCTCCGTCCACTCCAATACCCACCTTGGACCAAACACCACTCCTCTTGCCACCCTCCTCCTACTCCTCCTCCCACTCCTCCACTTCCTCCTCACAACACCTCCACCCTTCCGTCACCCTCCTACTCTTCTCCCATCCGCTCCGATACTCACCTTCGGACCTGACACCTTTCCTCTCCTCCACACCTTTCCTCTCCTCCACACCTTTCCTCTCCTCCACACCTTTCCTCTCCTCCACACCTTTCCTCTCCTCCACACCTTTCCTCCTTCCTCCTTCCTCTCTCTTCCCTCTGGCCCTCTTCTGTCGACCCCCCGCCAAGTTATGACCTTCTGCCACTGTCCCATACTTCGTACTTGGACACCACTTGTACCTTTGCTCCGAGCCTCCATCATAGCTCCTACCTCGGACTTTGACTCCACCTTGGCCTTAGTCCACTGCATTGGTGACCTCATACTATGTAAACACCATTGCAAATATTCCTCGGACTTTCAACCCGGCCTCCATAACCTCTGTAAGCTCCGCAACCTCCAAGCTCCACGGATCATCTTTGGCACTTTCGCCACTTGAAATGTATGTCTCGTGTTTTCCCCTCATCCCTATTTGGACTGCTGCTTCTTCCCATTCTAGCCAGTTAGTCATCATCCCCACTTCCCCTTGTCCTCCTGCCCCTCTGGGCTTCACCCTCCCTACCTCCTTTCGGACGTACCACAGGTTCTGCCTTATGACCTTTGGTACTGCTCCGCTTCTGTCATCCCTTTGTTCCAGTTCAGATGCCTTTGTTCCGATTTGGATCCCCTTTGTTTCCTTGTGCTTTTGCCCTCTCCATTATATATATCGGCACTTGTACATACTCATTTCAGGCCTTAGTCGAAAATCAACCTGAAATGCCCCCTAGAGACTTCCTGCTCGCTTCCTATAAAATTAAGGACCAAATGGACAAACAGCAATGGCACAGCGCTCTGCTTGAGTCACTGAGGCCAAGGTCCCTCCTTGCTAAGTCTCCAGTTCCCCTCCGGAATCGTCCGCCCTCGCCCAGTTCTAACAGGTTCATAGCTTTCTCCTGATACCAAATTTGTCCCAAATGGTTGAGATTTGACCGAGTTGGGCATGAGAATCATGAAATTGGCCCATGTGCAGGGTTAGACATCCCAGAAAGTGTCTGCGAGAGTCCCTGTGTCAATTGGATCTTCATACGCATCCTTTGTGATTTTTCTGACCACTCCAGAGTGCATTTTGGTTGTTTGTTTACTTCGGTACAGCTTGTGATTTCCATTTTGGGCTGAAAACCAGTTTCACAATCTTGTCAGGGCCCGGCCTCGGACTCAGAGGCTCCCTGACCTCAGCCCCCATCTAACCTGTCCTCACACTATGTGGGGCATGAGATGTATAGTAAAAGGAAAGATAATATACACTTGCCTATGCGGGGCATGAGATGAGAAGAAGGGTAAAGGTCTCATCTCCCCGCATGGTTGCTATATAAAGGAATGGGTCACATGCCCACAACTATACAGCTCCTAGAGTTGTGCAGTGTGACCCGGAGGGAACATCCAGGTGGCAGTGCCCAGTAAGTGTGGGAACGTTCTGGGCGAGTTGCTCGCCCAGAACTGTGGCTGTGACCCGTGGGAACATTCTGGGCGAGCTGCTCGCTCAGAAAGTTCCCATGCTATCCCATGCGCTGTAGGAATATAAAAGTTACAACACTAAAACAACCAGAAACCATCACAAAAAATTGGATAAAAATCATACAACCTCCACGGACCAGAAATAAAAATAGGAATAAAATCATAACTCAACAAAATGAATTGAAATAAAATATCGGAAAAATAATGAAGAACAGAGTCGATGGATTGAGTATCTACGCGAACTTTCAAGTCTAGGGATTAAAAGATGGTTCAGAAAATGAAGAAAAACAGCAAATAAACTCACATGAAAACAAAAACAAGGTTTCCTGTATCAAATAAAATATTAGAAATTCGTGGTAACGTGGGAAAATAGTTTTACGAACGTACGAAACGAATGACAAAGCGAAATCGGAAGGAAATCAAGGCATTCATATAATGAAAAATGGTCGGGTACGAGGAAAAGATGAAAGAATTGGAAATATTTATATGAGGAAAATAGGGAAAAATAAGAATCTTTGTCGGTCTTAAAGAGTTGAAGTATAGGTCTGTGTACAAAAAGATTTCATGTTAAAATCTGAAGAATTGAGGGAGAAATGGATTTAACAAGATTAAAACACACTTGCAGAGAAGACTGGCTCAAACATCCTGAGTTTGTGGTAAAAACGGATGAGCTAGAAATGCGAAACTAAAGAGTTTGAGTCCAGGAACAAGGCATAATTTATCCAGAATTAATCGTAGGAAAATGGATGAGCTAATGCCAAAGCAATCTGGAGAACCTCAAAATTAAATCTTGAAAAATTCATATCTTCATAAATAATCCTCGTAGTTTACTGTTGTTTATACCGACGGAAAGCTACACTCTTAAGCTAACAAATAACCCCATGACATGTGACTTAGAATAAAGTGAGTAAACAAGGGTAAACAAGGTCATGATGGGTGTTAGGCAATGCAATTGGCTAATTCCCACACCAAACTTCCAGAAAGTTCTAGTAACACATACAAATATTAATACACAAAGCAACCAAAACGCTACAGTGGTTGAGTTAAAGTACCAATACTAACATATAAGTATCAGAAGAAAGAACAGCCTTTTATAGGATTTCTGTTCTCCTCCTTCAGCACGCATGTACACAACACACAAAGGCAACAACAAGGCAACAGTCAAAGAATAAAAGGGGGTAAAGTAGGTGGGAGTCCGGGGCACCCTAAGGCAGGGTGCTGAACCCTGACAAATCTCCTGAAGTACAGATCTTGGCTCCGCTGCATGGGACTTTCGACACCGCCACCCTCACGTGCCTTTCGACATTGTGTGGAACCTCATGGTAAGATGAGAAAATTGTCACCACCATTGTTCCACAACAGCTGGGTCGATCTGGATGAAATTCAGGGAATCCATGTTTATGATTTTTCTCTATTTTCTGAGCCCTTGATCGTCTCTCAGCAGCCAGTAGCACCAAGTGTAGTTTTTGGGCTGGACCAATTCAGTACCAGCGTGTTATGCACAATTGTACTCCATTATAAAATGAAATAAAATGTTTTTATGCACCATGGGCATTGGTAGGTGATCTTCGCATGTGAGGAACCCTTAATGAATGTAAATCATGAAAATACTGGCAGTGTAGAGTATAGTAGGTTATCCTGCCTACAACATAAACGCCATTGCCAATATTCCTTGGACTACCAACCCTGCCTCCATAAGCTCCACTACCTCCAAGCTTCACAGACCTACCTTGGCACTTTCACTGTTTGTAGTGTATACTTGCACTTCTCCCTCACCTTTATTTGGACTACTGCTTCTTTCTATTTAGCCAGTTAGTCATCCACCTGTCATATCCATACCAACTCCACCACTCCACCACTGTTCTGGTTCACCTCCAGTTCGTCCCCTCCCTCACCTCCACCATATCCTCCGGTATACCTCCGGTCCACCTCCACCTCCGATCTCCAGTACCATCTCCAGTACCCCTTATCCTCATCATAGAAGTTTATTAATATTTTCCACAATGCTCAATAAGGTGATTCTCTCACAAGCTCATCAACCTGGCAAGTGGGTAAGTCCATCTTGGGTTTTCCCTTTGTTCTCAATTGTCTTGTATTATGTATATAAGTCATGTACTGTAGTTGATGGCACTTCAGTGCAAAATTGATGACCAGAGTTCGTGCCCCCTCGTTCTGAAGTTAAGGACCCACAGTCTCCTCCCTTTGACATGTTCTGACAGTATTTTGCACTCATAACATTCCTTTAACGCTGACTATGTCTAGAGTGATTTGTACCCGTTCACAGACTCATGGCTTAGTGATGGATGCGATGCCGAGAGCAGGCACCAGTTCTGGTCGTCCTGTTCCAAGTAGACGTGCTGGAGCTGAGTTTCCTAGTCCTAATTCTCATACTGTTCCATCTACTACTAGCTCATGATCTTCCTCCAAAAGACGTTCATGACCTAGACATTCACGTGCCCGTTCTTGAGCTACATACAATTCTCTTATAGGTTCTGACTTCAACCGTGTTGTTGCCAGTAGCACACATGACTTGGCCATCGTCATTGAGGCTGTTGATGAAGATGGGCTGGTTCCTCATGAACCTGTCCCTCTTGTTGACCTTAACCTCCCTATTTCACCCATTCCTATTCTTGTTGGTGATGATGACAAAGCTGAGCAAGTCCCTGTTCCGGTACTCACCCAGTTAGCACAAGCGATCACCTATCTTGCTCGCTCCACTGCTTGTCCGGCTCCAATCCCTGTTCCGGTTCCTGCTCCTGTACAACCTCCCTGTCAGAGACCAGGTGCAGGACGAGGGAGACGTCCCCATGGTGGAGGGCTTCAGCCTCAGCAACTTAGACCAGGAGCGCTGTGCCTAGTTACATGTCTGTGCCCTAACTTACTGACTGGCAACAAGAACTACAAGAGGGAAAATCTAGTCAATTTTATCACTGGGGTGTAACCTATCTACAAGTTAAGTATATATAGGTACATAGAGGGCAGGCCCATGAATGATGGGGTTGTAAGCATTGTTAAAGGTTGAGTTCGTGAGTGGTCTCGTGACAGTCAGAGTTTGCCTTACACTCCCAGTCCGTTGAAGTACGCTGTATGAAGCTGTATTTATCAATGGGGGGTAAAAGGCTGGGGAAGCCTTTACCCCCCTCGCATGTAGGTTAAATACAATATTGTATATACATGTGATAGTTGCAGCTTGGGACCACATGGTAGAAATGAAGGGTTTGGGAATAGAAGTGTCATGTCAGGTACAAACCTGATGCGATAAATAAAGAATGAAGAATGAATAAGGTAGGCCACGAGTACGCAGCCTATATCCCTTACACTCTCCTCCCTTGTGATATTAATATTGCACAGGCAGGTATAACAAGAAGTTGTCAAGAAATTAATATAAGGTGGGGAATGGCAATTAAGCCATTCCCCTCAAAACTTTTACAAGAATTATTCAAGAAAGAATTAAAAATGATAGCTGTTAGGCCATCCAGTAATTGCAAGGCTGTTAGGCCTTGACGAAACCGTTATTATGACAGTTTCAGGATTAAGTGAAAGTAGAGGCTGCTAGGCCTCCACAGATCTGTTGTTTCAACAGTGTGAGGTCTTTGGGTAGCTCAGCACACAAAGCCATAAGTGATACAAGTATGTGTATTTTACGGTGGTGTGTAAGCAGTTACCCGGAGGTTCCCGCTTACCCACGTGACTATATGTATCTAATTTACATATGACTCGGGGTTCGGGGCTATTGCCCTGACATTCTCCCCCCTTGCGTTGCATTTGCGATGCATACAAGGTTGATAGTGAAATAAAACAAATTTTTAATAATTGATTTACATTGAGTTTGGAATTGTCAATGAGTGTTTTTGTTGTCACCACTTTAAAGTGGGCGATTTTATACATGTCGGTGAAGGAGAGAGGAAAGGTTTGAGAAGTAAATGAGTGTGGGCCATTACTTTGAAGTGAATGGCGATACATGGGTATCGCAGGGAGAAAGATAGTGGAGTTTGTCGAAAATGAATTTCACCCAAAGGTTGTATGTCTTTGGTGTTCCTCACTTGTTCCGTGAGGGTTCGTGTGTAAGTGGTGTTTACACATGAGCGGTGGTGGATGTGGGTCTTTTGGCGGAGTGGAGATTTCCGCAATTGTTACTTGCGGTTCCTCGCATACAGTATTGTGTGTGGGGCCTCGAGTTGGGGGAAGGTGTTTTCACAGGCACCTCGATGGCGTATTACCATGTCACTTTCCCCTTTTCTCAAGGGTGGAGTCATTGCCCCGGAGGAGGGTTTTCCTCCGGGTTGTTCATCTGGACATCTGATTGCTGCGTCAGATGCGATGACGTAGCCTGGGCTACATTGTCGGGCTGTGGGCTTGATGAAGTGGGCGCTCCCTGGGTGGGAGTGGGTTGTTGTGTTCCTGAGCTACTTGGCTCAGGTGTGGAGTATGGTAGGTCTACCGTTCTTCCCGTGGGGAAGGGTGGTCGTTGGGCTGGTTGTCCAGCACGGAGACTTGCATCTCTTTCCCGGTATTTGGAAGCTTTCGCTTCCTGTTCCGCAGTTCTTGCAGCACGTTCCTCAGGAGTCCTGAGTGGTTTGAACTGGGACTTTAGATAGGTGGCTTTGCCTAGGCTTTCCCAGGAGATTTTTCCCTTATTCTCCAGGGAATTATACTCCTCCGCAAGTCTTGCAATACTTGGGAGTCCCAAGAAGTATTTCTTGGTTTCCTTCGCTTTATCGCAAAGGGTTCTGTGTACCTTGCCACTTTTGAAGGCGGCTTCGGCCTGTTCGTACCAGTGTACAAATTCTTTCCCACTCACGCTTGTCCACCAAGCGTATGTGGCGTCGTGCGCTGCTTCTGACCCCGCTATTCTCCTTGCCTACCGCTCTCCCTCTTCCCCTTGACATGGGTTTGCCCTTCTGAGGGCGGGCCCTTATGCAACCCGGACAGGGTCGCCTGCCCACGGGGTGGTGGGATAGTCGGTGCCCCACCCCTTGATGCGCTAGTCCCCATGTGGGGTCGCGCCTCATGAGGCCCGGAACCGTATCCCCTCCCCCTGACCTGGGAGGCCCCCGTCATGATGGGTTTGGCAGCGAGGTCTGCCAGTGCACGTGCCTCTCTGAGCTCGCGTTTCAGTAGTTCGATCTCCCTTTTTTGGAGATCGACTTCTCTCTCTGTGTCTTTCAGAGAGTCGAAGATGCCCTCAGCATCTCTTTGTGCTCTGTTGTATTCGCACCTCCAGTGGGCGCAATGGTTGCAGGCATCTTCTGATGCCCTCGAGTTATCGGACCATGCCCGTTTGGACGGTCTGGACGAGGAGCCGCTGTCGCTCCCTCGTCTCCCTCCTACAAGGGACTTCATTTCTTTCAGCTCCTCACGGAGCTGACCTGTCTGAGCAGCTACTGCTGACGCGATGGCTGATTCCCAGCCTGCATTTGGCTGGGGTGTTGTTGGACCTGGGCCGAATTGGCCGATCCAGGGGTTAATCTGGCCAGGGAAGTTCCCTGGGGAGTATGCCTGGGGCTGCAGCAGCAAATGCTGCCCCTGGAATGGCGCTTGTTGCGCCATCGGTGCAGTTTGCACCGTGTATGGTTGGAAGCCCCTCTGAGGAGGCTGAGGGTATGCTGTGCCTGTTAGCAACATGGATGGTTGTTGGTTCGCAGCACTCATTTGTGCTGCATGTGTTGTGTAGTCCATGGCACTTATCTGCGCCTGGTGTTGTTGTTGTTCCGGGGAGCCTTGCTCCCCAGGTTGTCGTATTTCGATATCCGGTGGCTTATTTGGATCAAACCGAGGGTTGCCTCCCCCAGAGAATGACATTTTGTCGTTATGTTTCTTGTGGTGGTGGGAGGGGTTTTCGTTCTTGCGTGCATGGGATTCGCTGCAGTTGTGTGTTCTTTTGCACATGAGCCTGTGGTTCACGTGGTCTAGGCGAGTTACTCACCTAGCCCATGTGATCTCTAGTACATGGTGTGGCTGTCTGGGCGAGTTACTCACCCAGAACTTTCCCACGCTCTTGGCTGTGGGCCATTGTCCTTCGGCTTTACTTCCTCCGCCTCCGTTTTTGGGGGCATAGTGATGCCGATAGTTCCCTGTCTTCTTTGATAGGGAGTTTTTCTGGTTCCCTTACATTTTGTAAGGTGAGGTACTCATCCAGGTGGACGAGGTCGTTGTGTCAGGGCTCGGTCCTCGATCAGGGACAGCCCGACCTCAGTCCTAGGTGTGTGCGGTGTTCCGGGTGGTTGGGCACTAGACCCTGTCCTCAGCTCCTCAAACTCACTGAAGGGACTAAGCGGGGATTGAGTTGTCATGTATTACAGAGGGTAACTACAACTTGCCTAAGCGGGGATTGAGTTGAGAAGAAGGGTAAGTTTCCCTATTCCCCGCTTGGCTACTATAAAAAGGAAGTGTACTGTACAGTTCATAACGTGACTCCGGGTAGAAGCCGAGCATGTTCCCACGACTCGGAAAAGGTGTCACATGGGTTAAGGCGAGTTGCTCGCCTTAACCCACGTGATTTTTCCTGCGGGCTCACATGCGGGCTGAAGTTGTGAGAGGTATGTAGGGATGGGGAGGTCTGGGGAGTGGGGGAAGTCTGGGAAGGTGGTTCTGGGGTGTGGTTGGGTGCCCTGACAGCGGGGTCAGGGGCCGATCCCTGACACGTTGCAATTTCCTAGGGGTTCCCATGTGGTGTCCCCTAGTTCCCATTTGACCTTAAACCAGAGTTCGTTGTGAACCCACACGTGGTTTAGGATTCCGCAAACTACTGCTTCGCGATCGGGGTCTTCCCCAAAATCGTAGAATATGTTTACTTCCCTATTTGGGAAGATTTCCTGGTCATTCAGCTCGTGAGGTACGAGCCGGGATACATGGAATCTTGGGTGGATTCCGTGTTGTTCAAGTTGTGGTGGCAACTTGAGGACGTAGTTTGACATCTCTGGAAATGTTTCCAGAATTTCATAAGGCCCTATGTATAAGGGCTTTAGTTTTCCTGCCCTTCCTTTGGGTAGGTTCAGCTTATCCATGGATAAGTATGCAAGCTCGCCTTTTCTCAAAGGTGGGTCCGGGCATCTTTTCTTATTCGCCTGGATTGTTTGGGCAGCGTGATTGTGTATTATCACGTCATGTGCTGCCATGAGGTTTTCCTTCGCTTTTTGGGCGAAGTCATTTACTCCCAGGTAGTCCGAGAGTGGTGCTGTTAGGCACATCTTTGGCATATGGCCGTAGATTAATTTGAATGGGGCAAATCCTGTCGATGTGTTCGAGCTCACATTGATCGCGAATTCCGCCATCAACAGTTTCGCTGCCCAGTCGCGTTGATCTGGTCTAACCATTGCGTTGTAACAGGGAAATCCATCCCAACATCACACAGGCTCACAGGAGGGACAGTAGTCTCCTGGCCTCACTGACTGTCACTAAAAGAGGTCCTTGAGTATGGTGCTGTAGGTGTCGCCACTGTATAGTTGTGGCTGTGCAGTCACGGGACTACCCCAACTACACTCGCCACTGTATGTACATGAAAAGAATGAAAGTGCACTGATTTGTAGTGCAAGGGTTTATCCCTGCAACAGTGTGCAGTATTTGTACTACTTTTTGTATCATTCTTTCCGCTTGGCCGTTGCCTTGTGGGTGGAATGCAGTTGTGAATTTCAACTGCACACCGAGTATTCGGTGTAGTTCGCGCCAAAATTTTGACGTGAATTTCGAGTCTCGATCTGATATGATCAAGTGTGGTAAACTGTGGAGTCTTACAACTTCATGAAGAAATACAAATGCTAGTTCTAGTGCGTTTGTTGTTGTCTTTATTGGAATTAGGTGGACGTTGGACGTCAACCTACAAATGATTACCCAGAGGTAATCATATCCCAAGCTTGTTGGGAATGGACCTGTGAAGTCCGTGGCTATTGACGACCATGGTGTCTCCGGGGTCGGGAGTGGGTGAAGCATTCCAGGATTTCT